CCACTACGACAAGGTTCCTAATGCACCTAGATGACAAAAAGAATGCAGATGTATTATATAACCAGATCTTTGCAAAAAGACTTCGACAAGTGTTGACACATGGCGTAATATCGACACAAAATGCGTGCTTAAGGAATAACAGGAATAAGCTCGGTCGATGGACTATAATTTCCTCACTAACAGAACACAGAGAGTAGTCGTTCAAACACGAGTAAAAGTCCGAGGCAGCTTCGGTTGAAAGCTCGTTCCACAAGGCACAGTACTCAGCATCCATCTTGTTCCCTTTCCTTATATCGACATAGACAAGGATGTCAGACCCCAGCACCGTGTCTCCTTTGCAGATGACACCCGTTTTGCTTGACAGTGTTCTTTCCATGCATGACACTGCTAAGCTCCAGGATGACATCAACCAAATCTTTCAGTGGGCTGCAGAATAACTTTATGAAGTTCACCGATGAGATATTTCAATTGACTCTGTTATGTGTAAAATGAGGAAAGTAATTCTTAATCAGAGTATACAAATACAAATTTCTGGGCAACAAAATAGAGCGAAACACCAACGTCAAAGACCTGGGAGTGATCATGTCGGATAGATCTCACCTCAAAGGACATAAACACTGGATCAATCGCATCTGCTAGATAATTGTCAGGATGGATAATGGAACCTTCGAAAATTGGGTGGGGCCAAAGCCCATGATGAAAATATTCAGGTCACCACTTGTTCTATCTAGGCTGGAATATTGCTGCACACTAATCAGCACCTTTCTAGGAGGTGAAATTGCCGACTAGAAAATGTACAGAGCACCTTTCCGGCTGCGCTTAACGGGATAATAAACCCTAATTATTGGGAGCGCTTGAGGTTCCTTAAACCTGTATTCCCTGGAAACGCAGGAGGGGGTGAGATACATTGATTCTATACACATGGAAAATCCTAGGAGGGAACTAGTACCGAACATTGCCACACGAAAATCTCCCACTACGAAAGCAAAAGTCTTGGCAGACGATGCTCCATCCCCCCAATGAAAAGCAGGGGGTGTCACTAGCAGTTAAGAGACCATACAATAGTGTCAGGGGCCCGAGGGACTGTTCAACGGCTCCCAGCTACACATAAGGGGGATTACCTTCGACCCCTGGCAGTCTTCAAGCTGGCACTGGACAAGCACAAGACGTCAGTTCCGGATTCAGCCGGGCTGTGGCTCGTATGGTGGTGTGCGTGCATAGCCTCGAGCAGCAACTGACTGGTTGATCAGGCTCGAATCCACCAGGAGCCGGGTCTCAGACCGGGGACCGCGGGGGCGTTGACCCCCGGGGAACTCTCTCACCAGGTAAACTACTAGGTTAAACTGTGCCTCGTAGGTAGACACTGTGCCGGTAGGTAGACACTGTGCCTCAGTAGGTTTAGACACTGGGCCTCAGTAGTAGACACTGTGGCCTCGGTAGGTAGACACTGTGACTCAGTAGGTAGGACACTGTGCCTCAGTTGGTAGACATGTGCGCAGTTGGTAGACACTGTGTCTCTTGTAGGTAGACACGGTTGCCTCGGTCGGTAGACACTTTGCCTCAGTAGGTGGGACCTGTGCTCAGTAGGTAGGACACTGTGCCCCGGTAGGTGGACACTGTGCTCAGTAGGTAGACACTGGGCCTCTTAGTAGTAGAGATGTGCCTCCGTAGGAAAAATGACACTGTGCCTCAGTAGGTGACCCTGTGCTTCAGTAGGTAGACACTGTGCAGCAGTAGGTAGTCACTGTGCATCAGTAAGGGTTTGGACATGTGCCTCAAGTAGGTATGGACCACTGTGTCACCAGGTAGGCTAGGGACACTGTGCCTCAGTAGGTAGCACTGTGACTGGTAGGTAGATCACTGTGCCACGGTAGGTATGACACTGTGCCTTCAGTAGGTAGACACTGTGCCTCAGTATGTTAGACCCACTGATGCCTCAGTAGGTAGGGTCAACCTGTGCTTCAGTATGGTAGGACACTGTGCCTTAGTAGGTAGAGACTGTGCATCTGTAGGTAGAACACTGTGCCTCATTATGTCGACATGTGTATCAGTAGGTGAAACTGTGCTCATAGTTTGAGTTGTGCTCCTCAAGTAGGTAGTCACTGTGACTCAGTAGGTAGGACACTGTGCCTCAGTAGGTAGACACTGTGCTCAGTAAGTTGTGCTGTTGCCTCAGTAGGTTGACATGTTGCCGCAGTAGGTAGACACTGTGCCTCCAGGTAGGTAGACACCGTTGCCTCAGTAGGTGACACTGTGCTCAGAAGGTAGTTACTGGGGCCTCAGTAGGTTAGACACTGTGCCTCAGTAAGGTAGACACTCAGCTCAGTAGGTGCACTGGGCCTCAGTAGGTAGACTCTGTGTTCAGTAGGTAGACTCGGTGCCTCAGTAGGTAGACACTGTGCTTCAGCTAGGTAGACACTGTGCCTCCGTAGGTAGACACTGTGCCTCAGTAGGTAGGGTCCTGTGCCTCAGTAGGTAGTGGCGCTGCCTCAGTAGGTGACACTGTGCTCATAGGTAGGGACACGTGCCTCAGTAGGTAGAACACCGTGCCTCGTAGGTGACACTGTGCCTCAGTAGGTGACACTGTGCCTCAGTAGGTAGACCACATGCTGGCCTCAGTAGGTACCGCACTGTGCCTAAGTAGGTAGAGACTGTGCCTCAGTAGGTAGAACCGAAGTGCCTCTGTAGGTAGACACTGTGCCTCAGTAGGTAGACATGTGCCTCAGCGAGGTAGGACACTTGTGCCACAGTAGGTAGACACTGGCCTCTGTAGGTAGGTTGAGACACTGTGCCTAAGTAGGTAGACACTGTGCCTAAGTAGGTTGACACGGTGCCTCAGTAGGTAGACACTGTGCCTCCGTAAGGTAGAACTGTGCCTCAGTAGCTAGACACTGTGCCTCAGTAGGTAAGACACTGTGCCTCAGTAGGTAGACACCTTGCCTCAGTAGGGTAGACATGTGCCTCAGCTAGGTAGAACACCGTGCATCGTAGGTAGACACCGTGCCTCAGTAGGTAGCACTGTGCCTCAGTAGGTAGACACTGTGCACTCAGTAGGTAGAACTGTGCCTCAGTAGGTAGATCTGTGCATCCAGTAGGTAGACCACTGTGCCTCAGTAGGTAGACACTGTGCCTCAGTATATAGACACTGTGCTTCAGTAGGTAGAACTGTGCATCTGTTGGTAGGACACTGTGCTCAGTAGGTAGACACGGTTGCCTCAGTAGGTAGATCACTGTGCCTCATAGGTAACACTGTGCTTGTAGGTAGACACTGTGCCTCGTAGGTAAGGCTCTGTACCTCAGTAGTGGACACCGTGCCCAGTAGGTAGGACACCGTGCCTAGTAGGTAGACACCGTGCTCAGTAGTAGGTAGACATCCGTGACTCAGTAGGTAGACACCGTGCCTCAGTAGGTAGACACGTGCTCAGATAGGTAGAACACCGTGCCTCAGTAGGTAGGACACCGTGCCTCTGAAGGTAGACACCGTGCCTCAGTAGGTAGGACAACTGTGCATCTGGAGGTAGACACTGTGCTCTAGGTAGGAACACTGAGCATAGTTAGGTAGCACTGTGCTCCAGTAGGTAGACATGTGCCTCTGTAGGTAGACACTGTGCCTCAGTAGGTAGACCCGTGCCCACGTAGGTAGACTCACCGTGCCTACAGTAGGGTTGCCATCCGTGCCTCTGTAGGTAGACACTTGCCTCAGTAGGTAGGACACCGCTGCCTCTAGTAGGTAGACACCGTCGCATCATTAGGTTGACACTGAGCCTCAGTAGTAGACTCTGTGCTCTGTAGGGAGACAACTGGGCCTCAGTAGGTAGACACTGTGCCTCAGTAGTAGACACGGGGCCTAAGTAGCGTAGAAACCCTGTGCCTAAGTTGGTAGGACACCGTGCCTCAGTAGGGTAGACACTGGTGCCTCAGTAGGTAGTCACCGTGCCTCAGTAGGGAGACACTGTGCCTCTGTAGGTAGGGACACTGTGCTCAGTAGGTAGACACTGTGCCTCTGTAGGTAGACAACTGTACCTCATGTAGGATTAGACAACTGTGCCTCAGTAGGTTAGTCACTGTGCCTCAGTAGGGTAGGACATGTGCCTCAGTCAGGTAGTACTCGGCCTCGTAGGTAGACACTGTGCACTCAGTTGGGTGACACCGTTGCCTACTGTAGGTAGACACTGCTGCCTCAGTGAGGTAGACACTGTGCCTAAGTAGGTAGACACCGTGCCTTCAGTACGGTAGACACTGTTGCCATCAGTAGGGAGACACTTGTGACTCAGTAGGTAGACACCGTGTCCTCAGTAGGTAGACACTGTGCCTCAGTAGGTTGGACCCACGGTGCCTCAGTAGGTTAGACACTGTGCCTCTGTAGGTAGGACACTGTGCTTGTGTTGCAGAGGACACTTATCCAGTCTGACGCATTCGCTTTCTCATTCTTCATTTTTCCCTATCGTTCTACCTGACATTGCATTGGCGGTCACAGGGGATTTCCCAGATTTTTTACTAGGAAACTGATAAGTGATGGAGATCCCCATTTACTTCGTTATAATCATTGGGGGAAGCGCTTTAAATACCTTTAGGGTGATTACAGTTCCAATTACACTGGAAATTTAATAATTATTTCCCCTTCTCAGTTAATGTTTCGTGCCATAGAGTATGGCTTCTGTTTTACCCGAGGTGTAATGATAGTATGTGTCTACTATCTATTTGCTGCAGAACTCTAGCTACTTGTTAATACATTAGCTATATCTTGTGTTAATACATTAGCTATATCTTGTGTTAATACATTAGCAATATCTGGCGACGCACTAACAGAGCACTGTCTCCCGCATACAGTAGGAGTTTGCACTGACAAATGCTAGCCATGTCGTGGACTAAACAATAGTATAAATAATAGGGGGACCCAGACATTCTTACTTGGGAAATACCATGTTAGGCAGTGGTTCCTGATTACGTTTGGTGGGTGTTATTATGTGTGTAGCTAACTTATTATAACATGTGTACAGGGAGTGTGGTGGGTGATGTGGCTGGTATGTGTGGAGTATGTGGCACTGTGGTGGCAGGGAGCCCGTCTACCAGTACTCCACGACAACATTATTAGTCTAGTCCATGCTACACTCTACGAGGTCACCAAGTAAGTGGACTTCCGTCTCTGCTTAACCTCAGAAATTTCTGCTACTCTGATGTAGATCTCATTCATTGCCTTAAGTAAGACAGGAAGGATAACATCCTGTGTGGCCGGGGTGTTAGCTTCAAATATATCTCCTAATACAATAGTAGTAGTAGTAGTAGTGGTAGTAGTAGTAGTAGTAGTAGTAGTAGTAGTGGTAGTAGTAGTAGTAGTAGTAGTAGTAGTGGTGGTAGTAGTAATAGTAGTAGTAGTAGTAGTAGTAGTAGTAGTAGTAGTAGTAGTGTAGTAGTAGTAGTATCATCATTATTATTATTATTATTATTATTATTATTATTATTATTATTATTATTATTATTATTATTGTTATTATTAATTATTCTTATTATTATTAATTATTATTATTATTATTATTATTTTATTTTTATCATTATTTTTTTAACTTTGTGAGATTAAAAGTCAAAATAAATATAAAGAGAAGCGATGGAGCAGTCAGACCTCAAAATATTTTTATTCAGACTGGGTTGGGTTGGGTTAGTCAAGACTGGGTTAGGCTGAGTTAGGCTTACCAGTCCCTGGCTTACCAGTGCCTGGCTTACCAGTGCCTGGCTTACCAGTGCCTGGCTTACCAGTGCCTGGCTTACCAGTCCCTGGCTTACCAGTCCCTGGCTTACCAGTCCCTAGCTTACCAGTGCCTGGCTTACCAGTGCCTGGCTTACCAGTGCCTGGCTTACCAGTGCCTGGCTTACCAGTGCCTGGCTTACCAGTCCCTGGCTTACCAGTGCCTGGCTTACCAGCCCCTGGCTTACCAGTGCCTGGCTTACCAGCCCCTGGCTTACCAGTGCCTGGCTTACCAGTGCCTGGCTTACCAGTGCCTGGCTTACCAGTGCCTGGCTTACCAGTCCCTAGCTTACCAGTGCCTGGCTTACCAGTGCCTGGCTTACCAGTCCCTAGCTTACCAGTGCCTGGCTTACCAGTGCCTGGCTTACCAGTGCCTGGCTTACCAGCCCCTGGCTTACCAGTGCCTGGCTTACCAGTGCCTGGCTTACCAGTGCCTGGCTTACCAGTGCCTGGCTTACCAGTGCCTGGCTTACCAGTGCCTGGCTTACCAGTGCCTGGCTTACCAGTGCCTGGCTTACCAGTCCCTGGCTTACCAGTCCCTGGCTTACCAGTGCCTGGCTTACCAGTGCCTGGCTTACCAGTACCTGGCTTACCAGTGACTGGCTTACCAGTGCCTGGCTTACTAGTGATTGGCTTACCAGTTTCTGGCTTACCAGTGCCTGGCTTACCAGTCCCTGGCTTACCAGTGCCTGGCTTACCAGTCCCTGGCTTACCAGTCGCTGGCTTACCAGTGCCTGGCTTACCAGTCCCTGGCTTACCAGTCCCTGGCTTACCAATCCCTGGCTTACCAGTGCCTGGCTCACCAGTCTCTGGCTCACCAGCCTCTGGCTTACCAGTCCCTGGCTTACCAGTCCCTGGCTTACCAGTGCATGGCTTACCAGTGCCTGGCTTACCAGTCGCTGGCTTACCAGTCCATGGCTTACCAGCCCCTGGCTTGCCAGTCCCTGGCTTACCAGCCCGTGGCTTACCAGTCCCTGGCTTACCAGTGCCTGGCTCACCAGTCTCTGGCTCACCAGCCTCTGGCTTACCAGTCTTTGGCTTACCAGTCCCTGGCTTACCAGTCCCTGGCTTACCAGTCCCTGGCTTACCAGTCCCTGGCTTACCAGTCCCTGTCTTACCAGTCCCTGACTTACCAGTCCCTGGCTTACCAGTCCCTGGCTTATCAGTGCCTGGCTTATCAGTCCCTGGCTTACCAGTCCCTGGCTTACCAGTCCCTGGCTTACCAGTCCCTGGCTTATCAGTGCCTGGCTTACCAGTCCCTGGCTTACCAGTCCCTGGCTTACCAGTCCCTGGCTTACCAGTCCCTGGCTTATCAGTGCCTGGCTTACCAGTCCCTGGCTTACCAGTCCCTGGCTTATCAGTCCCTGGCTTACCAGTCCCTGGCTTACCAGTCCCTGGCTTATCAGTGCCTGGCTTACCAGTCCCTGGCTTACCAGTCCCTGGCTTATCAGTCCCTGGCTTACCAGTCCCTGGCTTACCGGTTCTCTGGGCTTATATACACCCAGAGGAATTTATCTCCAGGATAATTTATATTAATATTTATTTTGTAAAATGGTGGAGGAGAGAGCCAGTGGAAGGCCTCGGTCAGATGACCAAAAGCTCCAGCTGCTGTTCATCATATAACTATGACTTGTCCTGTTTCCTGACAAACCTTACTTACCTTCATCCCCAATATTATATATATATATATATATATATATATATATATATATATATATATATATATATATATATATATATATATATATATATGTCGTGCCGAATATGTAAAACTGGTCAATTAGCAAGAACTCATTTAAAATTAAGTCCTTTCTAAAATTTTCTCTTATACGTTTAAAGATATATTTTTTTCATTAATGTTGATATAAAAATTTATAATTTTGCACCAAAAGGAACTTAGAAAACTTACCTAACCTTATAACAAACGCAATTTATTTTAGCCTAACCCACCTAAATATATTTTAGATTTGTTTACAGTAATTTAATACTAAACAAACACAGTGAAATATATTTTTTTTCCTTAGGTTCAGAATGATTTTGGCGAAATTATTGCATACACAAATTTTCACTTGTCCTATATGGCAAGATGAGCGTTGCTATATAAGCCAAGATCGCAAGTTCTGCCTATTCGGCACGACATATATATATATACAAGGAATTCGCAAGAACAGGCGAAATATACACAAGCACTGATCTCTGGCTGAAGGAGACTCGAACCTACGAACCTTAGAACAAGGTACACAGTGCTATACCAATCTACCCACACTGGACAATACCTTGGCGTGTAGCTTGCGCTACACGTTGATCCAAGGCAGCCAGCTTTCAGTGTAGCGCAAGCTATACGCCAAGGTATTGTCCAGTGTGGGTAGATTGGTATAGCACTGCGTACCTTGTTCTAAGGTTCGTAGGTTCGAGTCTCCTTCAGCCAGAGATCAGTTTATATATATATATATATATATATATATATATATATATATATATATATATATATATATATATATTATATATATATATATATATATATAAAATATATGCAGGCTTACCTGATACTCTTCCGGTTGTATTCTTCTCATTAGTTTCACATCGTCTGCAAACAGGGACACCTCTGACTCTATCCTTCCGGTCATCTCATTCACATTTACAAGAAACAGCACCGGACCTAGGATTGACCCTTGTGGAACCCCACTCGACACATGCACCCACTCTGACATCTCGCCTCGGACCGACACACGTTGTTTCCTTCCTATCATTAATTCCCTGATTCACTGCAGTGCTTTCCCTCCTGTTCCTGTCTGCTCCTCTAGTTATCAACCAGTCTCTTGTGTGGAACTGTGTCACAAGTCTTCTTACAGCTTAAGAAGATGCAGTTTACCCGTCTCTCTCCTGTCTTACTTCTATTACCCTGTTATGTACTCACCTAGTTGTGGTTACAGGGGTTGATTCACAGCTCCTGGCCCCGCCTCTTCACAGGCCGCTGCTTGGTCACTCTTCCATCTCCGTGAGTTTTATCATGCCTCTCATTAAAGCTATGTATAGATCCTGCTTCCACTACATCAATTCCCAGACTATTCCACTTCCTGACAACTCTGTGACTGAAGAAATACTTCCTAACATCCCTGTGATTCATCTAAGTCTTCAACTTCCAACAGTGTGTGTGTGTGTTATGTATCTATAACAGATGAAGGACGAGGAGGGGACAAGAGCTTGAGACCTTTGAATTAATAAATGAGGAATAAAGTTGTTACCCATGTCATTTGTGTGTGATATTGTTGTATATATGAGTGTATGTACACACAGGTTGTTCGTGCGTGGTGTGGAGTACGGGGTATACACGTGGGTGTGGCAACACTATTCCATTCTTCCAGCCCTGGACTCATCACTGCTGGGCTTGGCAATACTGGTGGTGCTGATAGACCTGGTCTACTATTGGCTACACCGAGCCAATCATGGTCAGTTAACTTGACTGTCTATTTTTTTATCAATGGTATTTTGTTTATGGTGTTGTTGCTTCCGTGTGTTTGATGCTGTCAACTTACCTGGAGGGGACTTCTGGGGGTCAGCGCCCCCGCGGTGGATCACACACTCATCAACAATGCACACTCCTCCAATATAACTTTTGCCATTTTATTTTCAAACTTAAATTAAAAGACGTAGAATATATTTTATTTTTTTATTAACATAAAATATAAATAGGCATAGCATTATTTTTTGAATTTTTATTAATAAATTTACAAGCAATAAGTAGCCGAAAAATGTTAATGTATTATGTAATGTGATGGAGAAGATAATGTGGAGAGTGGGAGAGCACCTGGAGAAAAGAATTTCTATAAATAATCACTAATATACCTGGTGTTTACCTGAAGAGGGTTTCGGGGGCCAACGCCCCCGCGGCCTGGTCTGAGACCAGGCCTCGTGGTGGATCAAGGTCTGATCAATTAGGCTGTTACACTGCTGGCCACACGCAAACTGACGTACGAACCACAGCCCGGCTGGTCAGGTACAGACTTTAGGTGCCTGTCCAGCACCTTATTGAAGACAGCCAGGGGTCTATTGGTAATCCCCCTTATGTATGCTGGGAGACAGTTGAGCAGTCTTGGGCCCCTGACACTTATTGTGTTGTCTCTCAGTGTACTCGTGGCGCCCTGCTTTTCATTGGGGAAATGTTGCATCTCCTGGGGTAATGTTAAGACAAATTTTGTCTCACAAACCTGCTAGAGTTCTATGACAAGGCAACTTGAGGCAGGACGGAGAGGGACAGTGAGTCACATATTCTGAGACTGCCAGAAGGACTCTGATACTTTACCTTAGAAGATACCGCTGAGATTATGTTTTGAAAAGCAGGCTGGAAAATCAGTCAGTCGGCTGTAGGGAATCAGCGAACACCTTAGGTCATGGTGACAGAGAACGATTGTCCCAGAAGAAACGTCAAAATGATCCACAGTGGGTTCGGTACTGTTTCTGTTATATGTTTAAAAACATACCAGAAGAAATAGTCGGATGTATCCCTGTTTTCAAATGATGTAATATTAATGAGACTAAAAACCTCTGAGGACAAGGAAGTGTATTATTATTATTATAATCAAGGGGAAGCGCTAAACCCGGAGGATTATACAGCGCCTGGGGGGGGGGGATGTGGAAGGTATTCAGGCTTAATTCGGGGAACTGGAGCACAGATCCAATTCCCTAAATCAAGAGCCCCTCACCAACATCAAGGAACCTTCCTTGAGGGGACAAGGAAGTGTAACAGATGGACCTGGACCAACTAGGAGACTGGGCAGATGGACCTGGACCAACTGGGAGACTGGGCAGATGGACCTGGACCAACTGGGAGACTGGGCAGATGGACCTGGACCAACTGGGAGACTGGGCAGATGGACCTGGACCAACTGGGAGACTGGGCAGATGGACCTGGACCAACTAGGAGACTGGGCAGATGGACCTGGACCAACTAGGAGACTGGGCAGATGGACCTGGACCAACTAGGAGACTGGACAGATGGACCTGGACCAACTAGGAGACTGGGCAGATGGACCTGGACCAACTAGGAGACTGGGCAGATGGACCTGGACCAACTAGGAGACTGGGCAGATGGACCTGGACCAACTGGGAGACTGGGCAGATGGACCTGGACCAACTAGGAGACTGGGCAGATGGACCTGGACCAACTAGGACACTGGGCAGATGGACCTGGACCAACTGGGAGACTGGGCAGATGGACCTGGACCAACTGGGAGACTGGGCAGATGGACCTGGACCAAATAGGAGACTGGGCAGATGGACCTGGACCAAATAGGAGACTGGGCAGATGGACCTGGACCAACTAGGAGACTGGGCAGATGGACCTGGACCAACTGGGAGACTGGGCAGATGGACCTGGACCAACTGGGAGACTGGGCAGATGGACCTGGACCAACTGGGAGACTGGGCAGATGGACCTGGACCAACTGGGAGACTGGGCAGATGGACCTGGACCAACTGGGAGACTGGGCAGATGGACCTGGACCAACTAGGAGACTGGGCAGATGGACCTGGACCAACTAGGAGACTGGGCAGATGGACCTGGACCAACTAGGAGACTGGGCAGATGGACCTGGACCAACTAGGAGACTGGGCAGATGGACCTGGACCAACTAGGAGACTGGGCAGATGGACCTGGACCAACTAGGAGACTGGGCAGATGGACCTGGACCAACTGGGAGACTGGGCAGATGGACCTGGACCAACTAGGAGACTGGGCAGATGGACCTGGACCAACTAGGAGACTGGGCAGATGGACCTGGACCAACTAGGAGACTGGGCAGATGGACCTGGACCAACTGGGAGACTGGGCAGATGGACCTGGACCAACTGGGAGACTGGGCAGATGGACCTGGACCAACTAGGAGACTGGGCAGATGGACCTGGACCAACTGGGAGACTGGGCAGATGGACCTGGACCAACTGGGAGACTGGGCAGATGGACCTGGACCAACTAGGAGACTGGGCAGATGGACCTGGACCAACTGGGAGACTGGGCAGATGGACCTGGACCAACTAGGAGACTGGGCAGATGGACCTGGACCAACTGGGAGACTGGGCAGATGGACCTGGACCAACTGGGAGACTGGGCAGATGGACCTGGACCAACTAGGAGACTGGGCAGATGGACCTGGACCAACTAGGAGACTGGGCAGATGGACCTGGACCAACTGGGAGACTGGTCAGATGGACCTGGACCAACTAGGAGACTGGGCAGATGGACCTGGACCAACTGGGAGACTGGGCAGATGGACCTGGACCAACTGGGAGACTGGGCAGATGGACCTGGACCAACTGGGAGACTGGGCAGACAAGTAGCTACTTGAGTTCAGTTCCCAGTAACTGCAAGGTGATGAATATTGGGAAAAGGCTAACAAGACAGGAAACCGAGCAGAGACTCGAGGAATAGAGGCTGTGAACTTCACTCAAGGAGAAAGACCTAAGGGTGAGCATAATGCCCAGCATATCACCAGTAGCATATTAAATCAATAACTTCTGCAGAGTATGTTCCTTTGGCAAATCTTACAGCAGCTTTCTGAAATCTTAATAGTCATTTACGGTCCTATATACAATATATGTTAGGCCCAACTTGGGTATGCAGCACCAGCATGAAGCCTCACCTCAGGATGACGGCGAAACTTCAACTCCAACCCACGTTGGGCTGGAGTTGTGAAGGACCTGCCTGGTATGGGCCAACAGGCTTACTGCAGTGTTTCTCCTTTCTTATATTTTTATGTTCTTATGTTACACATGTCTAATTCTTCATATCCGTACTAATTTACTTATTTAATAAAATACGCACATTTTTTCTTTATCTTATTTTGCATTTAAAGAAAATCGCTGTTTAACGGGTGACCATCTAACAGAGATCATGTTGCTATGGGCGATCCACCAAGTGCATCACACCAGCCAGGACCTGACTGTGGCTGTGGGTCTCCGACACTCACCCCTGCAACGACTCTTCGCCTGGGTCTTCTATCTTCCCCTGGCGGTGCTGGGTGTGCCTCCTAACCAAATGCTGGCTCATTCCCAGTTTAACACTCTCTACCAGTGCTGGACCCACACACACGCCATCCGATCCATTGGTCCACTGGATTATATTTTCAACTGCCCAGCCCACCACCGCGTCCACCATGGTAAGTCTGCACCATCATTGCCACTAAGGTGAACATGGGCAAATGTCTTCTTAAGAATATATATAACTATAATTTTTAAAGTGGTGGAGGAGTAAGCCAGCGGAAGTCTTCGGTCAAGATGACCAAAGCTTCCAGCTGTGGATCATCATATGACTAAGACCTGCGTCAGGAAACACTTATCCAGTTTCCTGACAAATCTTACCTAACCTAACCTGTCCCCTTAAGTATTTTTGTCGGTAGGGCATCATAAGAGAATGGGAAATAATCATAATAGGAGAAGGTTTCGGGGGTCAACGCCCCCTCGGCCCGGTCCATGACCAGGTCTCGTGATGGATCAGGGCCTGATGAACCTAGCTGTTACTGCTGGCCGCACGTAAACTTAACATGCGAACCACAGACCGTCTGGTCAGGTACTGACTTCAGATGCCTGTCCAGTGCCTACTTGAAGACAGCCAGGGGTCCTGAAGATAGCCTGGGGTCTTGAAGACAGCCAGGGGTCTTGAAGACAGCCAGGGGTCATGAAGACAGCCTGGGGTCTTGAAGACAGCCAGGGGTCTTAAAGACAGCCAGGGGTCCTGAAGACAGCCAGGGGTCCTGAAGACAGCCTGGGGTCTTGAAGACAGCCAGGGGTCCTGAAGACAGCCAGGGGTCCTGAAGACAGCCAGGGGTCCTGAAGACAGCCTGGGGTCTTGAAGGCAGACAGGGGTCTTGAAGACAGCCAGGAGTCCTGAAGACAGCCAGGGGTCTTGAAGACAGCCAGGGGTCATGAAGACAGCCAGGGGTCTTGAAGACAGCCAGGGGTCTTGAAGACAGCCAGGGGTCCTGAAGACAGACAGGGGTCTTGAAGACAGCTAGGGGTCTTGAAGACAGCCAGGGGTCTTGACAGCCAGGGGTCTTGAAGACAGCCAGGGGTCTTGAAGACAGCCAGGGGTCTTGAAGACAGCCAGGGGTCTTGAAGACAGCCAGGGGTCTTGAAGACAGCCAGGGGTCTTGAAGACAGCCAGGGGTCTTGAAGACAGCCAGGGGTCTTGAAGACAGCCAGGGGTCTTGAAGACAGCCAGGGGTGTTGAAGACAGCCAGGGGTCTTGAAGACAGCCAGGGGTCTTGAAGACAGCCAGGGGTCTTGAAGACAGCCAGGGGTCTTGAAGACAGCCAGGGGTGTTGAAGACAGCCAGGGGTCTTGAAGACAGCCAGGGGTCTTGAAGACAGCCAGGGGACTTGAAGGCAGCCTGGGGTCTTGAAGACAGCCAGGGGTCTTGAAGACAGCCAGGGGTCTTGAAGACAGCCAGGGGTCTTGAAGACAGCCAGGGGTCTTGAAGACAGCCAGGGGTCTTGAAGACAGCCAGGGGTCTTGAAGACAGCCAGGGGTCTTGAAGACAGCCAGGGGTCTATTGGTAATCCCCCTTATGCATGCTGGGAGACAGTTGTGGTTTAAGAAGATAAAAACATTTGATCGGAAGTGTAAACTGTCACAGCTGACTTTTCAGGTTTAATATTATGAGTGTTATTACAAAACTAAGCGCTAAACCCACACGGGTCATGCAGCCCTGAGATCCTTATTTTCAGGAGATTAGACAGAAAAAAAGTTGCAGATTTGAAAGTGGCTACAGAAGGTTGAAAATGACCGGAGAAAAGAGAAAAAGAGAGAGAAAAAAAGAGAAAAGAGATGCAAGTGTGAAGGAATCATCGGCTTGACGATCCAGGTAAGATGTCTATGATAGATGGGAGTGCAGGAGAGTGCCATTTCTTTAATGGTATATTATTCCTGCTGTACAAGTGGATGTACCTTTGTAACTTGTGACTTTCTTCACCTTTGTAAACCATACCCCCGGCCGGGATTGAACCCGCGGTCATAGAGTCTCAAAACTCCAGCCCGTCGCGCTAGCCACTAGACCAGCTAGCCACTTTGTACCTTGTTCAGCTGTCAGAACTTTGAGGCCCAGTCCCTGCACCCATTATGTACCTCTGTAATATGTAACTACCTTTGTAGCCTGGCATGATTGTGACCACATCTACCTGCAGTTTATTACCTTTGTATTGAAACATAGTGTTTGCACTCTGAAACACAGTGTTTGTACTCTGGAACACAGTGTTTGTACTCTGGAACACAGTGTTTGCACTCTGGAACACAGTGCTTGCACTCTGGAACACAGTGTTTGCACTCTGGAACACAGTGTTTGCACTCTGGAACACAGTGTTTGCACTCTGCAACACAGTGTTTGCACTCTGCAACACAGTGTTTGCACTCTGGAACACAGTGCTTGCACTCTGGAACACAGTGTTTGCACTCTGCAACACAGTGTTTGCACTCTGGAACACAGTGTTTGCACTCTGGAACACAGTGCTTGGACTCTGGAACACAGTGTTTGCACTCTGGAACACAGTGCTTGCACTCTGGAACACAGTGTTTGCAACTCTGCAACCAGTGTTTGCACTCGGGAAAACACAGTGTTTGCACTCTGGAAACACAGTGTTTGCACTCTGGAACACAGTGTTTGACTCTGGAACACAGTGTTTTTGCACTCTGCAACACGTGTTTGCACTCTGAAAACACAGTGTTTGCATTTCTGGAACACAGTGCTTGCACTCTGGAACACAGTGTTTGCACTCTGCAACACAGGTGTTTTTTGCACTCTGGAACACAGTGTTTGCACTCGGAACACAGTGCTTGGACTTGGAACACAGTGTTTTGCACTCGGAACACAGTGCTTGCACTCTGGAACACAGTTGTTTCCCACTCTGCAACACAGTGTTTGCACTCTGGAACACAGTTTTTTGCACTCGGGAACACAGTGTTTGAAACTCTGGAACACAGTGTTTGCACTCTGGAACACAGTGTTTGCACTCTGCAACACAGTGTTTTGCAACTCTGCAACACAGTGTTTGCACTCTGGAACCACAGTGCTTGCACTCTGGAAACACAGTGTTTGCACTCTGCAAAAACAGTGTTTGCACTCTGGAACACAGTGTTTGCCCCTTTCTGGAACACAGGTGCTTGGGACTCTGGAACACAGTTGTTTGCACTCTGGAAACACAGTGGTTTGCACCTCTGGAACACAGTGTGTTTGCACTCTGGAACACAGTGCTTGCACTCTGAAGCACAGTGTTTGCACTCTGGAACACAGTGCTTGCACTCTGAAGCACAGTGTTTGCACTCTGGAACACAGTGTTTGCACTCTGGAACACAGTGCTTGCACTCTGGAACACAGTGCTTGCACTCTAAAAACCCCAGTGTTTGCACTCTGGAACACAGTGTTTGCACTCTGGAACACAGTGTTTGCACTCTGGAACACAGTGCTTGCACTCTGAAACACAGTGTTTGCACTCTGGAACACAGTGTTTGCACTCTGGAACACAGTGTTTGCACTCTGGAACACAGTGTTTGCACTCTGGAACACAGTGCTTGCACTCTGAAGCACAGTGTTTGCACTCTGGAACACAGTGTTTGCACTCTGGAACACAGTGCTTGCACTCTGGAACACAGTGCTTGCACTCTGAAACACAGTGTTTGCACTCTGGAACACAGTGTTTGCACTCTGGAACACAGTGTTTGCACTCTGGAACACAATGTTTGCACTCTGAAACACAGTGCTTGCACTCTGAAACACAGTGCTTGCACTCTGAAACACAGTGCTTGCACTCTGAAACACAGTGTTTGCACTCTGAAACACAGTGTTTGCACTCTGGAATACAGTGTTTGCACTCTGGAACACAATGTTTGCACTCTGAAACACAGTGCTTGCACTCTGATACACAGTGTTTGCACTCTGAAACACAGTGCCTGCACCCTACAACAGTGCCTGCACTCTGAAACACAATGCCTGCACTCTGGAACACAGTGCCTGCACCCTGAAACAGTGCCTGCACTCTGAAACACAGTGTATGCACTCTGAAACAAAGCGCCTGCACTCTGAAACACACTGCCTGCACTCTGAAACACAGTGCCTGCACTCTGGAATACAGTGCCTGCACTCTGAAACAAAGTGCCTGCACTCTGAAACACACTGCCTGCACTCTGAAACACAGTGCCTGCACTCTGGAGTACAGTGCCTGCGCTCTGAAGCACAGTACCTGCACTCTGAAACACAGTGCCTGCACTCTGAAACACAGTGCCTGCACTTTGAAACACAGTGTTTGCACTCTGAAACACAGTGCCTGCACTTTGAAACGCAGTGCCTGCACTCTGAAACACAGTGCCTGCACTCTGAAACATAGTGCCTGCACTGTGAAACACAGTGTTTGTACTCTGAAACACAGTGCCTGCACTCTGAAACACAGTGCCTGCACTCTGAAACACAGTGCCTGCACTCTGAAACACAGTGCCTGCACTTTGAAACACAGTGCCCGCACTCTGAAACACAGTGCCTGCACTCTGGAACACAGTGCCTGCACTCTGGAACACAGTGCCTGCACTCTGAAACACCGTACGTGCACTCTGAAACACAGTGCTTGCACCCTGAAACACAGTGTTTGCACTCTGAAACACAGTAACTGCACTCTGAAGCACAGTGTCTGCACTCTGAAACAGTGTCTGCACTCTGAAACAGTGCCTGCCTCTGAAACACAGTGCTTGCACTTTGAAACACAGTGCATGCACTCTGAAACACAATGCGTGCACTCTGAAACAGTGGGTGCACTCTGAAACAGTGCCTGCACTCTGAAACAAAGTACCTGCACTCTGAAACACAGTGCGTGCACTCTGAAACACAGTGGGTGCACTCTAAAACACAGTACCTGCACTCTGAAACAGTGCGTGCACTCTGAAACACAGTGGGTGCCCTCTGAAACACAGTACCTGCACTCTGAAACACAGTGCGTGCACTCTGAAACACAGTGCGTGCACTCTGAAGCATAGTGCGTGCACTCTGAAACAGTACGTGCACTCTGAAACACAGTACCTGCACTCTGAAACACTGTGCGTGCACTCTGAAACACAGTGCGTGCACTCTGAAACACAGTAGGTGCACTCTGAAGCACAGTGCGTGCACTCTGAAACACAG